ACTCATATAAGACTGTGTGCTGTTCTTAAATGACCCAAAGACAAAGCTGGGACTTCACTAAAAATATGTATGCAAAATAATGACATCCTTCTGATCTTCTTAATACATAAATTTCTCTAGTATCTCTCATTGAAAGTGACACTGAGCCATGATACTGAAACTAAAGCCAAATGCAACATTCAGAGCTCCTTAGAAGAAACAAGCATATAAGCATCATGGAAACAAAAGGTACTTTCTGTCCCAATACTGTACTTTAATAAAGCTATACTTACTGAGGTTACAGAAAATATATAGGTGACCAAAAAAATTAAAGTTTTAAAAATATTTCTAAAAAGGGAAAAAATTACATAAGTCCACATTCCCTTTTCCACAATTCCAAAATCCATCAATCTCTAAAAACCAAATATTTTTTCATAGGTTTGGTGCCAAAACTAATTTGTTGGCAAAACTTAACTTAAACTGACATGAATCTATTTATAACTTTTATTCATTTAGTGTGAATATGATATTAATGTTGTTTGATTACAAGCTACTTTCCCATATCCCAAGGAGATATTATGTAATCAACAGTTCATATGCTGTATTACTTTTCCACAACCCAAAAAAAATCTGAATTCTGAAATATATTTGCATCCAAGGCTGCAAATAAGGGATTGTAGACCTGGATTTCCTCATCTCCAAAAGGTGATTTTACTAGTAAGCCTTTAGTAAAAGACACACACACACACGTATATACCAATTAAGCTACCATTTCTTTGGGGGTAGCAGGGTGTAAGACACTACGTGTTTTCCAAACCTATCTCTAATTCTTACCTGAAAAGTAGATGTTACTATCCCCAATTTGCAAATAGACTTTATTTTTGTCCAACTACTAACAGAAGATAGAAAATATTATTCTTATTTCTAAGGCTTTTTAAAATTGCAAGATTCTGTCTATAGATGATTTCAGATACCATAAAATTACTTTTTTAAAAAAAGACTCAATTTTACAGAGAAAGTGATCAAGGTACAGGCCATTTTAAGAGACCGCATCATTTTAAAATTTCTGGTCAGTATGGACTTCCACAAAAGTAACAAACTTGGCAATACAGTAAAGCAATTTTACCAGTAATTCAAACAAAAGCTTTCTTTTATGATAGTTGGAAAGGAAGGAGAAGAGTCTGAGAAATTGAAACAGGTGCAATCTAGCCTGAGACTAATACTCCTACATTTAATTAACTACAAGGATTCTTTTTTATTATTATTTTTCATAGTCAAATTGTTGGAGAAGAGAAATTCTAACATTCTTGTCCTCATTTTTTCTTGTCCTCATTTTAAAGTACATTATTTAAAAGAAACTTCCTTTTGCAATTCTGACCTTCTTACAGAGCTATCTGCATGCTTGAAAAAAAACAAAAGTTTAACTGTCCCTTCGCACCTCTAAGAAATTTCTCAAAATCTACCTCATATAGGGACATATCCCATGACACTTAGTTCAGGTAACAATTCCACATTCTCCTAAACTTGGTGTCTGCCTTTCTTCCGATAGCAAATAAATTAAACCAATGGCGGGGAAAAAAAAAAGACTGTCTTAAATTCACCACTGTATGTTTAAAGCTTGTCTCTATATGTAAAGTATAGATAATACATCTTAATTTTCTATATTCAAGCTTCAGAGGCACTAAGGAAATAGCATTTATTGGGCACTTCAGATATATTACCTCTACTATTCACACCTATCCTGTAAATACGATTCCCATTTTAGAGATGAGGGAACTTTAGAACAGAAAATTTGAGTCCCTAGTCCTCATCTAATAAGGTATAGAACCAGGCTTTAAACAAAGATCTGAATCTCAGTTCTTTCCACATCACCTTGCTAACATATGCTTACCTTAGAATAACATTTCCTGTGGGGCAGGAATTTTCATCATGGCTATTATTTCTTCAATATGTAGTATGTTGCAACACAAACAGAAAGCCAAATAATGAATCTGGATAATGTTAAAATAGGCCCCAAAATCCTACAATCTTACACTTAATTGCAGTTATTGAGCAAGTTGCTTAACTTCTCTGTGCCAAAACTTCTTCAAATATTAGAGATAATACTTTAGAATGTAGTTATGATGCTGAAGTAGATTAAAATATATAAAGCACTTAGCACAATATCTGGCACATAATAAACATTCCATAAACGTTAGCTATTGCTACTGAGATGAGAAATCACCAGATGGACGTTTTGTACCAGGTGACTCCAGCCAACAATAGCTGGACATCTAATCCAGAAACAGCCAATCCTACACTGACTTGCAATCCTATGACATGATCTGGTGGGAAAGATGATGTATATCAATCAGTTTCTCTCTCTTGGGAATCTGAATTAAGAAACAAAGACTGCACCCATTAATAATGATTCGGAAGTTAAATGGTTTGGCTTCTACCTTCATCAATTTTCTCTCATCAATGTTACCAATAATGCTAAATCTGTTGCTAAATCTAGTTTTTCAGTCATCCTTTTAATATCATTTGGCAGCATTTAATCTGTTCAAGGCCATTCTCCTCATTCTCTTTGGAAAGCACTGAAATATTGCAGCTATTCAACACTTAATCCCAAGCCTCTGCCTCCCACATGCTACTCTCCCTCTAGGCAATTTCATCCACACTTACGACTTCAGTAATTATCTCCATGTTGGCTCAGACTTTTCTTATACATTCAACTGCCCTGTCAATCCGTCCACTTACCTGGATGGCTAAATGATACCTCAGACTCCATATGTCCAAAACCAAACTCACGATCTTCCCTCTCAAACACAGCCAAGATCCCTTCCACTGCTCTTTATCTCCATAAGTGCACCACCAACTATCCAGATGCACAAATTAGAAAATTGGAAGTATGCCCTGATACCTCCTTTTCCTTCTTCCCCATCTTTCACTAAATCCTATTAATTCTATCTCCTAAATATTTCTCAATTCCTTCTCTCAATCTCCACTGCCACCTTCTAAAAGGTCCACCTATATCCACTCTTGTACCTTTTGTACTTCCCACACTGTAGCCAGTTATAGTTTTCCTCATGATTCTAATCATGTCATGCTCCTTAAAAGCCCTCAATGGCTTCCTATTATTCCTAAGTTTTTTGACCAAAATTTGTATCATAGTACACAAGGCCTGCAAGATCTGTTTCAGTTTCTTTTCTCCTCCTATTGCCCTACATGCAGACCATATTTGTCTCCTTTCAGTTCCTTAAATACATTATGTTTCCTCCTACCTTAGGATCTTTGCACATGGTTCCCTCTGCCTTGATCACTCTTTGTCCTTCTCTTCATTTACTCAATATATCTCAGCTAAAATATCACTTCCTCAGAGAAAGTTTCTTGAACCCGCAGACTTTATCAGGTCATTCAGTTATTCCTTAAATAAATATTTAATAATAACCTACTGTATACCATGTATGGTTCTAGACATGTGGGAATGTTAAACACAACAAATACCCTTGTCTTCATGGAGCCTATATTCTAATGGAAGAAAACAGGCAATAAGCAAGAAAAATAATAAGTAAATTGTATAATATGTATAAAGGCAGTAAGTCTGTGGGGGATGGGGGAGGGGGAGAAAAAAGAAAAAACAAGGTAAGAGAATCGCAAGCAGAGAGTTTCCATTGCCTAACTTGGACCTGACATGTAGTTGGCACTCAATAAATATTTCTTGAGTGGATGAATGAATAAAGTAATGTTATGAGGAACTTAAACTATAAAAAGAATAGAGGAACTACTTGGTGGAAGAAACAGAGCTGCCATGAAAGAAAGAGAAATCATGCAGGTCTTGAGAGGTGACAATCTCTTGAACCTCAAAAGCTTTATTCGGCTTTCAGTTCCAGTCACTATATGGTCTTAGCATAACCACTATCCCCCTTCCCCACCTCCAAGGGCTGGATAATTCAAGTGAGTCACTCTTGTAACCAAAATACCTAATTAGGACACGTATACAAGTCTGTGTGTATCACTTCCATCACTCACCACCACACATATCCCCAAAGCCACTGCTTTGCTACACACACAGATATCACTTGTCTTAAAGCTTCAGTTCTTCAGTCCCCAACCCCTTTCAGGTACAAACTCCCTCCCACATACACAAGAATGTGAAAATCTTAGCTCTCTTCTAAGACACTGTAAGATACTTATGTCACTACTCTCCAAGCCCAGTCAAACCCACAACGGGATCCCCTCAGGAATAGGACCTTGGGACCCCCTCCCCAGCAGTCTCCCTGCACCTTAAAGACTATCTTTCACCCACAGATATGTGGATATACACTCCTTTGTGATTCTGAATGACCTTCAAGAGCACTGATCCCATATACACTCAAACTCAGGTTCCAGCATCCTTTGGTAAGGTTCTGAAGGACTGAGTCTCTGGGTGTCCCCTCAAGCCTCTTGTCTTTATAAGGACCCACAGGAGGGTTTGCATACTTTCTCCGTGGCCAGGGGTGACCCTAAGGCACTATACTTCCCCCAAAACACAAATACTTGGTGTATACCCCCCTTCCGTGGCACTGCCTGATATTAAAGTAACACCCCCCCACACACACACACCTGCCTCCTCAGAATAAGTGACCCTCTCCACCAAACCATGCCCCTTTAGGGAGCCCTCTTATGTTTCCACAGGACTGTGTAGCCCCTCTCCATGACTCAGCCTACTCCTTCGATCAGCACCATTACAGGTGCCCCTCAGGATTGGAGTCCTGTGTCTTCCCTGGAGTCCCAGCCCTTTCTGGGCCCATGCTCACTCAGGAGTGTGCACACTCCCGCATACACCTCTGCGCCGCCGCCGGGACTCCGAGGTCCATGCCCCCGCCACTCAGAGCGGTAAGCACCTCCCCTGACCCCTGACCCCGAGGTCACAGCCCCACCGCGCAAACACACAGGGGCGCCTCCTCAGGAGTAGGGCCATGCCCAAGTCTCCTCTCCCCTCAGACCCAGGACAGCGGTGCTGCCTTAGCGCTTCCCCCTGATTGACCGCCCCCACAGACCTGCCTCAGGCACCGTCTGGCTCCGCTCCGCCATTTTTTGTTGTCCCTCCGCCTCTAAGCCCACGCGAAAATCGCGGGGCAGTGGGGAGCGTGCGACGGGATCCGCGGGCTGACTGAGCTCCCTCAGGAAGACGCGGCGCGACGGTTGCCAAGGCAACGGGTTGCCCGCGTGCGAGCAGGCGGCGCGGGGCTAGGGCGGGGGGGTGTGGGGAGGCGGGCTGGGAGGGAGCGTGCGTCGGAGGCCCCGCCCCCGCGGCTCCAGGGTTATGGGGTCTAGGCTCCTGCGGGGCTGGGACTCCGCCGCACCTCTCCCCGCCGCCTAGCCACCGCGTCCTGTCAACTGAGCATGCTCATCCGCCTCTGGGTAGCGGAGACCAGGTCCGCTGGGATGGCGCTCGCCTGCTGCCGAGGGGGTCCTCCTGCTGACCACAGACCTGGATGGGCTGGCCTTTCTGTGATTGGCGCTCAATTTGGGGGGCTTGAGACAGGTTTCTTGATTTCCCAACGCGTCTACCCCTGACGTGTCCGGCCCAGGTCGAGGTGCTGGGTAACTTAGGTCTTCAACTGAAACGCACCAAGAATCAATCATTCTGTGCCCACCCCACCCCATACTCGGGCTCCTCGCCCCTCTACCTCACCAGCCCCCAAACCGAGAAAAGGCTTCTCTTTCGCTGCTGTATGTCTCAGTATACTTAGGATGCCCTTTCCCATCTCTCCGTGGTGAATCGCCACTATCTTCTAAGACCCAGCTAGAACATTACTCTTTCCTGAGCTGCTCTGTCCTCCCACAGTCCCCTGTGCATCCCTGGCCTAATACTGACGGCTTTCTGCATTATTACTCTATCTTCCTTACTTAAGGGTAAGGTGAGCTCCCGGTTGCCTGGGTTCGGTCTCTTCATCTACGTATACTCCATAATACAGCATAGTGCTTGACACAAGGTAAGGGCTCAGTAAATATTTGTGGAATGAAAAATGACTTCTAAGTTCACTCCTGCACATCCTACCTGTTTTATTGAGCACTTAATTTTTTAACAAGTGCCATTCTAGGTAGGCCCCTTCTCTTCACGGCACTCACAGAGAAAGGAAGAGAGATAATGGCTTTACATGCCTCATAGGGACACAGCCTCCAAGCTGGTCTTCAACTTATTCTAGGAAGTTAGCCCACCAGATAGTGGACACTCAATACATATTCTTAACTGAATAAAAGGATATGGTCACAGAAACAAAAAGAGAGAGAGAGATAATGGCTTTGGTAGAGGTTAACTAGCATCTAAAGTGCTACAGGATCATAGAGGTGGAACTCTAAATTGGGAAGTGGCGGGGGAAAACAGTTAAGATTCCAAAGAGGAGTGGATACCCTAGCTAAGTCTTGAAGAATGAAAGCTGTCAGCCAGGCAAAGGAAAGGAGGACTGTGCCTGGCAGAAGGAGCAGCAGGAGCAAAGCAGAGCATAGAGATCAGCAGTGAAACTACAGGAAGTCCAGTACGCTAAAGCACAAACCTGATAGGACAAAGCATTATCTCTAAAGGAGCTCCTATATAGCTAGGTAGTATCTTCAGATGTGTTTCCCAAAAGCAGAGCCTGAGGCCAGGACTTGGGTGATGATAATTTGTTGGGGAGGTAAGCCCAGGAAACAGAAGTGAAGGGGAGAGAATGAAAGAGGGAAGGGGAAAAGCCACGAAAAAATGTGTGAGATTGAGCAAATTGCTTTAGTAGACAACTGGGTGTAAGATCACTGGAGAGAACCTCTGAAAACTGTGGAATGTGCCTCAGCATTGTCCCACCAAAGAACAAGGACCCGAGGTCATTTACCTCTTGATTTCCATCCCCATTGTTTCAGGATTATCTCCATCCCCCAGCTTGAACTCTCACATTTCCTGGTTATGCTTGCCCAGGGGTAAGCAGCCTTCTAGGATTTGAAAGAAAGCCTTGAGGCAGAAAAGCAGAGGGACTGGAAAGCATTTGGGGTGGGAGGCTGGCAACATGCATGGAACTACACACTCACCTGCACTGAAACCAGAAATAAGGTGTGGGCACCACAAGAACCTCTACAAAAAGTTACATGAAAATACTCATCAGAAATATCCCTCATATTTGAGTAGTTTAAAAACTCACAAGCCGGGGCGCCTGGGCGGCTCAGTCGTGAAGCGTCTGCCTTCGGCTCAGGTCATGATTCCAGGGTCCTGGGATCGAGTCCCGCATTGGGCTCCCTGCTCCTTGGGAGCCTGCTTCTCCCTCTCCCACTCCCCCTGCTTGTGTTCCCCTCTCTCGCTGTGTCTTTCTCTGTCAAATAAATAAAATCTTTAAAAAAAAAATCACAAGCCATGTCACCACAACTATCAAGATGAAAATACACAAGCTTTCACAAATCAATCCTAATGACTGACTCATAAAGGCTGTGAGGGCTATAGGAATTTCAGTATGGGAGGGGTTACTGAGGACTGAAGACCACAAAGGAGCTTCATTAAGTATAGGAAAATGGAGAAGATTCTACTCAAACTCTGAATTTATAGCTTTATAATCTGGGGCATAAATCACTTAAATAGACATTGAGCCTCAGTTTCCTTTTCCAACAAACCAGCCCTTCCTAATACACAGAGTGCTCTAAGTCACAAATGGTGGGACAGGTTAAAATGCATTTAATAAGTATAATTACAGTAAATAAAAAACCTGGCGTATTTTAGAACAATTAACTTAAACAAACCTTGATTCCATTTCTGAGCCAGTTTCTGTGCAGATGCTAGTGTTAACCTTAAAAAATAAAACTGCTAATTATTTTACCAATAAAAAAGTTTATCCAGGAATAACAGAGAATTGCAATCTGAGACAAGTGAACTGTAGCAAAACCATAGATAGCCAAGGCCCAGAGCAAAGGAGAGATACACTCTCTTACATAGAAAAGGGAGGAAGTTGGGAAGGCTGTTAGAAACATAAAGTCTGTTGCAGTAAACTAGGAGTCTCAACTATAGTGGCTTTTCATTGGCTGTGTTGTGACTTTCTCATTGGCTGAACTGTTGCCAGGACTGGAGGAAAGCCTTTCTTCATCCTGCAGGGATAGTAAAGTAGTATTCACCTGGGAGGCTCCTCACATCCTGCAAGTCTGCAGTTATCAAGGAGTGCTGGGCTTGAGAGCTGCCCCCTGCCCACTTCCTGACTCCTTTCTAAATGAATTTTCCTTTTATTAATTTTCACACTGAAGATCAAGAGATGAATATAACACTGTCTATGGTTTCTAGGAGCTCACAATCCAGAAGGGAAAAGAGATTTAATCCATAATTATAACCCAGTATGATCAGGGTTCTGATAAAGGAAAGCATGGGAGGTTGTGGGAGTCCAGAGAGAGGCACAAAACCCAGCCTGGAGTAGAGGGGATAGGTAAAGGGATATTTAGGAAAAACTTCCTAGAGGAGAGTGTCTGATCTAACTCTTCAAGGGCAAGTAGGAATAAGCTGGACAAAGAAAATGGTGGTACAAGGGAAAAGGGTGGTTGAGGCAACAGAAACAGCATGGGCAAAGAAGTGATAGTGTGTCTGAGGTAGACAGCAGGCTGCATCAATAGGTAAAGACAGATTCTGGAGAACTCCTCTTGGGGAACTTGATCCTGAAAGTGATAGAAACCCATTAACAAATTTCTAAAAAGGTCAGGGACCTGGTCAGCTCCTCTGGTTGCTGTGTGGAGAGTTGATTAGAGTCAGGCAAAGAAGAATTGGAAGGTGCAGTTCTGTACAAATGTGTTTGTTGACATTTCAAATTAGCATTTGATGAGAACCTTTTATGTGCTACATACACTGCATGGTTCAATTTAAATTTTAAGTAAAACTTAAAAATCAGTTATTTAGTCAGACTAGCCACATTTCATGTGCTCAATAGCCACCCTATATTTACAGCATATAGAGAGAATATTCCCATCAGTGCAGAGAGTTCTGTCAGACAGCATTGACAGACATATTCTAACTGGACAGAAGAAATGAAATGTCTGGAAAAAGTCCGCCCTTAAAAGGACCAGGTTCAGTTCTCCTGTGTGTCAGCTTCTCTTCAGGAAGCAGGGCAGGAAGGAGGGTAGACTTCACACCTGCTGAAGTCCTCAGAGACTTCCTTCTGGTATAAACAGCACAGCATGGGGAGTGGGATAGACATGCCCCCCACGTGGACTCCTGGGAGTTAGTTTTCCCATGCTATCATTCAGAGCTTGCCCAGGAGGTCTGCCTTCCCCAGGGATTTCCTGAGGTTTCTTATCTCCACAGACAGTCACCCACCCACCATAGAGCCAGGGTGCCTTCCTTTTGACAAAATATTCCCTGTAGGATTCACCCACTCCTGTAAACATTTATTAAAATGATGCCTTCCATGTGCCTGGCACTGAATTATATACAGTATGCAATGAGAGAAATATTCAAGTTATAATCACATTTCTCACATGTACCAACTCATTTAATTCTCAAAGTAACATTGTAAAATTGGTATTAATGTCATCATCCTGTACAGAAGATGAAGTTGAGATTCAGAGAGTTTAAGTGACTTATGGTAGGTCACACAGTCAGAAAGCAGTAGCCCCAGGGAAGACTGGAATGGTGCTAAGAAATTTACCTATGTTCTCCAAGTAATCTCATATAAAAAATCATACAAACTGGGGAAAAAAAGATGAACACACAAAAATCCAGCTTACAATTTCCAAACAATATAGTAAGAGCAGTGATACAAGCATGCTCTGAAAAAGTGTAGAAGCATCAAAGAGGGATGCCCTTGATGGCCATCATAGAACGTTTCTGTAGGAAATGACCCTGGAGCTGAGTATTAAGGATGAGGGGGGTCAGCCAGATGAAGTATAGGGTGGGAAGAAGAGAAATGAAAATATTTTTTAATTCAGCTTATCATTTGTATTTCTACTCTGTTTATTGCTGGTTTGGCCTTCTAGAAATGTTACCATTCTTTTCTTGTCTTCTAAGTTTTAAACAAAAAACACTGCTCCTACACCAAAGCTATAAAAGAATTGAGGATTTCTTCTTAACCTGGATAAACTATTTAAATGTTAAAAAATGACTGAACTTAACAGAAAGGAAAACATTCTGATGTTGAAAGGAAGGAAAAAAATCAAAGGTGTGAAGTCATTTGTCCTTGCAGTTTCCTTGGCCTAGAACGCTCTTTTTTCAGATAATCTGCCTGACTGACTCTCACTTCATTCAGAT